CTCATATGCACACGCTTGCAGGGTGTGCACATGGTAGGGTGCTGTCAAAGTGGATCATGACACCCATTTTCCCTTTTTCTTTCTAAGTTGCTTTCTTCTTATTGTGTTTATTTATTTTTATTTTCACTAACGTTTGGGCCGTCATTCCTGATGGGAAAGTTACTGGGATTCCTAGTTCTCAGCTACTGTTGTAAAAAATTCCCATGAATTGTTTTCAAGCACTGAGGATTGAACCCAGGGTCTTTGGACTGAGCTACATCCCCCAACCTTCTTTAAAAAAATTTAAATTTTGAGACAGTGTCTCAGTAAGTCCCTAAATTGCTCCAGCCGGGCTCAAACTTGCCATCCTCCTGCCTCAGCCTGCCAAGTGCTGGGGTTAGAGGCGTGGTTTCCTATCTGTCCTTTTTCTCCAGATGCAGAGCTCCTGGGTTTGTGCACGTTAGACCTTCAGGCGGTTTTGATAAGGTGCACGCTGCATTTCTGTGTGCTGGGGAACCGGACTTGCTGTCGTCCATGCCCTTCTAGGGCGTGCGTGCCTGCGTGCGTGCGTGCGTGTGTGTGTGTGTGTGTGTGTGTGTGTCCGAACACAGAACAATGGCTCTCTGCCCTTTGCTGGGAACACCCGCACATTTTCTTTCATACCCTGAGAGCTTCCTGTGTTTGTGAGCCGTTTCCCAATCAGCGACTGCAGCCTGACATCCGGGTCCCCGGCTGCCGGGACATAAATTAGCCGCCACGTCTTGTAAGGGGCCGACGCGGTATCTCGCAGCTGGTGGCCTCAGAACCGGCCTGGCGAGGTCAGGTCGTGCTGACGAGCAGCAGATCAGCCCGCGGTGCCCGGAAAGCGGCCGCCTCCCCTGCTGCCGAGCCCTGCCCACCTCCCGCAAGGGGCGGTGCCACCCGACCCCATCTGGCTCCCTCGCGCTGCAGCCTTTCATCGCGTGCCAAGCGGGCAGAGCAAAGACGTTTCTCTCCCGCAGATCGCCGCGCCTCGTCCTCGCTTTTCTAATTCTCGGGGCGGCTCCAAATAATTCTCCTTCTGCCTGGAGCTGCAGGGACACAGGTTTCCCGCTAGGCCGTCTCCCACGGGCGGCTCCCGGACAGCAGATCTGGCAATAGATTTTCAAGGAAGCCGCAGAAGCAGCTGCAGCGCGCTGACCTCAGCGCTGGGCCGAGAGCTCGGTGCGGCTCGATTTCCTGATCTGATGTGAGATTCTCCGGTCTGACCTCACCCTGGGCCGAACCGTCCCGTGGGGCCTGGGCTGACTCAGAAGCTACACAAGCTAACAATAAATACAGTCGTCGCCGCCGTAACTTGGCTCTTCTAACAGTTTAATAATCTCAGGGAACAGGAGCATCAGTCCTGCAGCTACGCTGCCGAGTGGGAACCGATCAGAAATCCAGTGACGGCCGAAGATCGCCGCGGGTGATCGTCTGGAGCTTGGGTTGTCGCCGTCATAGCGCCAGAGCCGACTCTTCAGGGACACTTGCCTGTCGTGCCGGCGTCGCTGGAAGTCAGAGCTACGAGCTGTGGAAGCAGACTTAGGACCCCAGCTTCTGCGCAGCTTAGCGGATTGGTCCTGTATAAAAACATCAGCAGGCACTCGGTTCCGTCTGGGTCCACCCTGCATACGGGGCGTGGGTTAGAAATCATTCCGAAGCATGTGCGTCCAATGTGAGCACAGCGCTCCTCTTCCAGCAACGGGATTGCAGGTCTTGTTGCTTCTCTTAGTTTTAGTTACATGTAATTTGGGAATGTGTTGTTTAAGAAGCACGTTTTACTTTAATGTTTTTGTTTTTGTTTTGAGACAGGGTCTTGAACGTACTTCCCTTGAACTCACTATGTAGCCCAGGCTGGCCTCAAACTGGAAGGGATCCTCCTGCCTCAGCCTCCCAAGTGCTGGGATTACAGGTGTGCAACACCACACCTGAAACTATTTTTAACTGCGGAAAAATTTATCTCTAGGGAAACATATGTGTACAGTCTGAATTTTGACATATATATATGCTCATATAAACCAATCAGGGTAGAAAGCCCTATCAGAGATCATCCAAGTACGATCTATCCCTAACAAGATACATCACATTTCCCTCACTCGGGTCCGCCTGCCCCTCCCGCCCCACCCTCTCGTCTCCTAAGTGACCACCATCCTGGGTGTGTTAGTGCAGACCAGCACAGACCACTTTTCAGTGTTTCTTTCCTTTATCATTAGTGTTTACTAATCCTCCGAGACATTGGGGTTCAGTGTGTGTTCTGATCGTATTCATCCCCTTCATATTTGGAAGTAAGAAAACCCACAGCACAGCTTTTCAGAAAAGCTCCAGTGTCTGTGGAGATGAGACACACACCCCGGAGTCGCTGTCTCCTGCCCAGACTTCCCCTTCCGCTGGCGCCAAGGAGCGGGAGCAGAGACTGCGAGGGGGCACTGGGGCTGGACGGTGCAGCTCGAGGGAACGCCAAGGAGTCTAGTCCTGTGGGATTTTATTTTATTTGTTTTGGTTTGGTTTGGATTTGGGGGACAGGTTCTCCCTACACAGTTGCGGCTGGCTTTGAACTCGCTACGGAGCCAGGCCAGCCTCGAACTCGGAGCTCCTCGGCCTCCTGGGCTGGCGTGTTCGGGCACCGCCCGCTCCTGACTCCGCCGCATCTACTATCCTCTCCTCTGCCGCTCCTGGGAGGGCCCCCAAGGTTTCCTTCTGCACAGGAAGCCAGCTGGGCTGTGTCACCTCCCGGCCTCTAGTTAGCCAGGGCACAAAGGCCAGGCCGCCTCGCCGGACCCACGCCCGCTGACCTCGCCCCCGCACCCCCCACCTCACAGGGCGACGTCCTGGGCCCCCTCCTGCTGGCCACACTGAGGTCCTCCTGGTGCCGCCAGGCCTGGCTCCCCGCCCACTTGCGCCATCTCATGCGGCCAGGCTTGGCAGGGCCCCTGCTGGGAGACTCTGAGCAGCTCGTGCTCGCAGGGTGTGCAGGCGCTGGGTGTTGCCTGTGCGTCTCTCTGCCCAGCGTGTTTTCCCTTCACGCCGTGTGGATGTTCTTCTTTCTTTCAAATCTGATTTATTTGTTTGGGGACAGGGTCTTGCTCAGTAGTCCAGGTTGTCCGTGAATTCGAGGTCGTCCTGCCTCAGCCTCCTGGGTGCTGGGCAAAGCCATATACCACCACGCCCAGTAGAGCTACCTCTTCCTTAGGGAGTTTCCCTGAGCACCTTTGTGTCCTCCCACCGCACGACTCCCTGGTCACCCTCTAGGTGCCCCATAGATCTGCGACAGTCCTCCCAGGCCGTGGGCTGAGTGACCGCTTATCTTCCTGCCTCTGCATCAAATGCCGCACTTCTTGGGGCCGGGGCTCGTGCCAGCTACAGCCAGCAGAACGAGGTGGGTAGGATCTCTAGAGTGACAGGTGCAGCCCTGGATGGTCGCCTGGCCGGATTCTTACTCACCTTACTGAACCAGAGAAGGTGAATCGTAGAATCTACATCCAGAGGTGGGATCCGTGCAGACGGTCCCCGTAAAATGCACAGGACGGCTCTTGCATGCAATAGGTGCTGAATAAATACCATGTCATCCTGGGCTTTCTTCTCCTCAGTGTTCCTGGCCAGAATATTTGTTCCTATAAATCTGTTTTCATTTATTTATTTTTGGTTTTGAGACAGGGTCTGATGATGTAATTCAGGCTGCCCTTCTATTTGTGGTGATCCTCCTGACTCAGCCTCCTGTTCTGACAAATTTATTCAAAACCTCCTTGCACCTGGGCTGGTGCCTGAGCTGGTGCCTGAGATGCCAAGGAAAAGGAAACCTAGTACCTGCTTTCCCAGGATATCACTTTAGTCCAGAGCAAGTGCAAGCAGTTAGCAGTGGTGGTGCAGTATGATAAAGTGCTGGCTGCACAGTACTCCTAGAGCACAGGGCAAGGCCCTGGAACTGGTCTGGGAGGTGAAAAGTTTCACAGGGTGAGCAGGCGGTAGCTGAGCGTGGAGGAGGAGGGAGCCCTCTCTGGAGCGGAACAGACCTGCAAAGCGTGCTGCGTGTCTGGGGAGCTCCACGGCCCCGCTGTCACTGCCGAGAATGGCTTTGTTGACGCCGAGGATCCTGGGGGGATGGGGGGCAGACGGCACCGAAGTCCCGGCCAGGCAAGCAGCTGCTCCCTGCGTCCCATCTGCTGTGGGCTGGAGGGAGGGAGGGAGCAGCTGGTGTAACCCAGCGCCCACACTAGAGCTTCGGGAGGGCTGGGGTCAGCCGAGCCCGCGGGGCAGGGCGGGAAGTGCGGCGTCTCAGCTGGCAAGATCTGTTACAGGGGACTCTGCCGACCCCGCCTCACCCCTTAACAACAGCCCAGCGATCGAGTGGCGCCCTAATGATGAGCAGAGCCCAGCGCAAGGACCCGCATCACCAAACCCGGGCGCAGGGGCGCCGGGGCGCTCAGTGTGGGGTGAGACCGCCCCTGCAAGCTGCGGGCCACAGCTCCCCAAGGATCAAAGCTGCCTGCATAATGCATGTGACTGTCCCGCCCCTCCCCCAAAGAGAACCAAACTGGAGAAAATGAGTGGGGCAAAAGACTGCAGTGTCAGCAGAGCATGGTGTGCATGCCTGTGATCCCAGCACTCAGGAGGCTGAGGCAGGAGGGTCACCTCCAATTTTGAGACCAGCCTGAGGGCCAGGGATATAGCTCAGCAGCACAGTGCCTGCCTGGAAAGTGCAAGTTCCTGAGTTAGATTCCTGGAATCAAAAAAAAAAAAAAAAAAGAGAGAGAGAGATCAGCCTGAGCTGTGTAGTCAGTTCAAGGCCAGCCTAGACAACATAGTGAGACCCTGTCTCCAAAAAATAAAAACTCCACCCAGACCTACTCTTATGAAGGAAGTAAAACCCTCCGAAGCCGTCGTCTTTCACTGCAGCCCTTATCTCGTAGCTCGCTGGCTGAAGAATCGGTGAAAATCCACGCTTCTGAAAGAACACGCTGAGTTAGACATCCCCCTCGGCACGGTCAGTGTCACAGCCAAGGTCTTCTAGTTTTATTTATTTCTCTCCAATTGCAAAGTGATTTAAAAGCACATAGGCCCAGGTAAAACAATACAGCAAGGAAAAATTAATTCCAAATCACTGCGAAGGCTCCAAGGGTGTGGACCACTCTCACGTCTGCTTGGAAGTCAGCCTGGCAGGTGCACACCCTGTAAGAAAGTTTAGGTGTCTCAAGACGGTCAACCCAGGCAGGATTTGCGCTCCTGTTACGTGATAGCAAGAAAATGGACGTACTCAATATTTCTTATTTAATTTATTTTCCTCTGAAGACAGGGCCTCGCTATGGCCCAGGCTGGCCTCAAACTCACAGGGACCCTCTTGCCTCAGCCTCTCAAGCGCTGGGCTGGCAGGTGTGTGCCACCACCCCTGGCGCCATAGTTCATTCTCATAATTGAAAAGAGTAAAAGTAGAATTTTCAGACACTGCCAAGAAATGGTGAAAGGAATCCATGAAGCCAGGTGTGGAGGTGCACGCCATAATCCTAGCTCCTCAGGATGCAGAAGCAGGAGGATTGAAAATTTAAAGCCGGATTGTGCAGTTCAGCAAGACCCTATCTCAAAATAAAGAGTTCAAAAGAGCTGAGGGTGGAGGTCAGTGGCAGCCCTGGGTTCAATCCCCAATTCTACAAAAAAAAAAAGTGACAGAAGCTGGCATTTGGGCTGCATTTCCCTGGCTCTGTGTCCCTTGCGAGTCCGTTTGGACCCTGGGCCACCCCGCCCCCCGCGTGGATGCAGGCCAGCAGCGCCGGCTCGGCCCAAAGGGTCTGCCTGCGTGAACATTCCCGTGCCACTCGCCCGTGCAAGGATCGAGGAGCAGGGCTGAGAACACACAGCCTGGTGGGCAGCTGACATCCGCGTTGTGTCCAGCGCCCACCTAGCAGGGTCCAGCCTTACTCACTTATTTATTTGCAGCAGTGCTGGGGATCGAACCCAGGGCCTTGGCACTGAGTTACAGCGGCTGCCCGTTCTGTGTATGTATCCACACATCCACATAAGAAAATACAAGTTCTTACTAACTCACTAAGTCGCCCAGGCTGGGTTCACACTTGTGATCCTCCTGCCTCAGCCTCCCAGCGTGCTGGGATAACAGAGTGCATACCAGCCCCACTGATCCTTATTATGTGTGAGTTAAAAGAGGAAATACAGCTTCATCGAAGCTATCAGTCCTTCACAGTCCTCTGGGCCCTCCCAGAGCCCATCCATGCAGCCGCCTTACCGGACACTTTGTCCTGAAAACACCATAGTGAGGCCGCACCCTCCAGAGATGAAGACCCCGGGGGCAGCTGGTGACACCAGGAATCCGGGATACAGCAGGCAGAGGCCAGAGAGAAGGTGCTGAGGTCCACCTGGGCCGCTCGGGGACCTCACCAGTGTCCTCAGTACCCAGGAGAGCAGGGCCACTTTTGTCCGCATCTGTGTCCCCTTTGCAGGTGTCCCTGCCCTGGACCCGCTGGGTACGTGCCCTGCCAGCCGCGCAGTGCTGGATCCAGCAGCGCTCGGTGACTCAGGGCTGAGATGCCCAGGCAGCTGACTGGAGCGGCCCCGGGCACGGTCAGGCGTGGGAGTGGACTGGGCACAGCCTCACCACACGGAGCCAAGGGGCCCTGCAGACCGGGGTTCGTCCCTGACCGTGCTGAAGGCTTTGGTGCAATTTCCGGAACGAACTCTGAGGAAACAGCAGTCTGCTGAAGAGTGGGGTGTGTGTGTGTGTGTGTGTGTGTGTGTGTGTGTGTGTGTGTGTGTGTAAAATGTTTGTTGCTTGTTTTCTTTTTGAAACTAGGTCTCCCTATATAGTTCAGGCTGGCCTTGAACTCACAGTGATCCTCCTGCCTCAGCCTCCCAAGTGCCGGGATCACAAGCGTGTGCCACTGCACCCAGGTGCTACTCACCTTTGTGTCCCAGAGCCTAAGGCTCCTGCATCAGCAGATGGGAAGAAGAAAGAAGGAAAGAAAGAAAGCAAGCACAGTCTGCTGGCTGCATCAAGCTGCCCGCACGCGGGAGAGCAGGGCAGCGCTGAGCACATGAAGCCCAGAGCCCCAGCGCCAGCCGCACCAACGGGGGAACGTCTACTTCAAACACGGGCAGGGTCGCCGAATCTGACTCTGTTCAACGCCCAAAGCAAACAGCGACACATTTTTTGAAACTGTTATTATCCAGCCACAGTCACCGGCCAGAGCACAGTAAAATTAGAAGTTTTAACCAACGGGGCCAAGACAAACCCCGGCTGCCCAGCCGAGCTGAGTCACCTTGGAGCCCGGGGGAACCAGACCGAGGCAGGACTGGTGCCCAGCACCCAAGCCCACGGGCGCCGCCAGCCACCTCCAGAGAAAACGCCCGCCGGGTCTGTGGGCTGGGCAGACCCCTCTCCAAAAGCAAGCAAGAGCTTCTCTAGCTGGGCATGCAGGATGCCAGCTGGGCTCAGGAGGGACCCAGGGGGAGCTCCTCCTGCAGGGCCACAGGGAAAAGACCACGGCGTCTGCCTCGCACGTTGCCCGGACCTGTGCTGACAGTCAGGCCGTGCGGGCGGTGCTGGATTCCTTTCCTGTTTTGGTTTTTGTTTGCTTGTTTTTTGAAACAGGGTCTCACGGTGTAGCCCAGGCTGGCCTCCAACTCGCAGTGATCCTCCTGCCTCAGCCTCCTGAGTGCTGGACTCTATGCTGGTGACAGATTGTGACAAGGGCAACAGTGACGGTCGCATCGTAAAGGGCTGAGCCCAGGCGACCGTCTTGGCCTCCTCTGCCTGCGCACCCCAGCGCTGGCCGGGCCACCAAGCCCGTGCCCTGAAGCCCTCGCCAGCCTTGCGACGTGCTCCTGAGCTCAGTTCACAAATGACACTGAGCAGCACGCTTGTCCTTGGACACACGCCCTCACACGCGTGGCCCTGGACCGGCTTGGACCTGGGCTCCTTGCGCCACCGGGCAGTGAGCAACGCGTGTGTCCCGCAGGACCGGGGCTCCGTGCAGACGGCACTGCACTCAGCCACCTCGGCACGGGCTCACTGTCCGGACACGGAAGCCAGCCTACTGTCTTGGCTCCCGTTGTGCAAGCAGCACAACGCCACGGCCTCGGGCAGATTCCTGCGACCTCTGCCGCCGCCCTCAACCCAGGCTGGGGCCACGGCGCGGACTCACTCACCCCCGCCTGAGCACGGAGTCACGTGAGCCCCCGGCTGGAGCAGCTCAGCCCAGCCAAGAGCGGATCGGCTTTGGGGCAAGAGAGATACCGATCAGCAGGGACTCCGAGCGGCACGGACACCGCCACTTTCTGAGAGGCCCTTCTCCGGCCGGAACTCGAGGGGCCCTTCCTGCGGGTGCGGGCGGCCGGGTCGCGGAGGCCCCGCGTGTTGCAGGAGTCAGAGGCAGTGCACAAGTCCCCTCGTCCCAAGCTTCGCAGACGTGATCAAAAGTACGGTGACCGCTGCTACCGAGCACCGTGCAGCAGAAAAGCAGCTCCTACAAACAGACGCCGCGTCCTGGTCCACCTCAGTGACCTGACCCGGCACCCGGCGGCTTCCGGCTCCTCCCCAAAGTCAGAAGGAGCAGGAGAGGGGAGCGCTGTGGGTGGCTTCAGGACATTGAGTCAGCCGGGATGGCACAGCTAAAGACCCTCAGAGAGAGGCCGGGGGGTGGACGAGTGAGGGGGAGGAGGGCTTGGAGGGGATCCGTGGCAGTGAGGCTTTTATTGTAATCATTTTTTATTTTTTATTTTTATTTTTTATTTCAGGACCTTGCGCTTGCCAGGCAGGCGCTTGTGCTGCTGAGCTATATCCCCGGCCGTAATCATTTTTTAAAACTACTTCCACTGTAGTTTTCAGTAACACCTTGTTGGTTTTGGTGTTTGTTTTGGTGTTGTGGCTTTTTGAGACAGGGTCTCGCTGTGTAGTACAGACTGGCTTTGGACTTGTAGCCCAGGCTGATCTCAAACTCACAGCGATCCTCCTGCCTCAGCCTCCTGAATGCTGTGATGACAGGCGTGCACCACCACACCTGGCCCAATACCTTGCATTTTCACCCCAATTCCCCAAAATCTTTAGCATGACCTGGGATGACAGCTAGGGGGCCCGCGGGGTGTCCCGGGTCACAGCTCCACAGTGTGGTCGCTGCCTCCCACCACGCAGTCCACACGGCACAGCCAGGTGGGAAACGGGCCTGCAGTGGCGAACAGGCAGGCCGGCCCGAACAGGAAGCCGGAGTCCGGGGTCCCGCCTCCCGGCGCAAAGCGGCTGCTTCCTGCTGCCTCCGTCCTCCCACCCTCGGGACAATGAGGAGAACGGGGGACTGGGGACGGGGCAGACCGTGAGTCCTTCTTCCGCCCCGCTCCCAGCCCTCTCCTGGCCCTTGGTGCAGGCCCTGGGGCCGGCAGTCCGGCAGAGCTGTGGGGTTTGGCCCGGAGGAGGCAGCACCAGGAGGTTGGGCCGTGGGCGGCCGGAGAGGAAGGTGAGGGGCGGCCCGGAGGACCATCACGTTGTGTGCACGACACGCCCACCCCAAAACAGGAGGCTGTGCCGGACCTGCAAACGTATGCACCCCAAAGCTGTTCTCAGATGTCTTCCTTTTTGCTTTCCTCGACTAGAAAGGGTAAAACAGCCCTCAAAATCCCAGGCCCCCACATCCAGGCAGGGCCGCAAAGCCCAGCGCTGGCCAGCGGAGATGCAGGCAGCCTTTGACTTTTCCAAACAAAAACGCGGCGCTCCCTGGTGCGCCTCTCTTTCTCTCTTCCTGCCTGGAACTCAGTTCTGAGGCTGGGGGTGGTGCAGCCATCTTGCAGGCGTGAGGCAGCAAGCCCAAGCTTCACCAGCTAAGGATGCTGGCATGGCAGGAAAGAGGGACTGGGAACCGGATGTAATTGTGTGAGACCGGGCCACTTGCCCGATGTCATTGTGTGCGACAAGTGCCACCTCCTCGCTCGCTTTGCTGGGGATTGCTAGGGTCCCACTGTGTGAAACCAAGACATCAGGCCGCTCCCTCCTCCGTCTCAGAGACTGGAGCAGATGGAAGTCCGGTCCTCTAATTGGGAGCCAGGTAAGGTTGCTTCCAGGAGCCTGAGGCGCCTCCCGGGCTGTTCCCGGAAAGTCCGCCCTTGGGCACACATGGGCGTTCTGGGGACAGGAAAGCGGCTGGGTGAGGGTTCCTGCAGGAGAGCCGACACCCAGTGTTAGCCAGTGGTGCATTTGAGGGCTCCCCAGGGACCATGTAGATGAGTGTGAAAGAACCCCTGCCTGCCTGGCGCAGGACGGGCACCTCGCTCCCAGGCGCAGACGCCTCCATGCGGCTCAGGCACAATTCGAACCCCAGAATGTGCATCCTCACAGCCAGTCGTGGTAGCACACTCCTGTCATCCTAGCATTCAGGAGGCTGAGGCAGGAGGATCACCACAAGTTCAAAGCAAAGTGGGTCTCCATGGCGAGTTCAAGGCCAGCCTGAACTACACAGCAAGACCGCCTCAAGAAACCAAGACATAAAAATAGAAACTCGAACTAAATTCCTGTGTCATAAAAATAATAAACTGAACAGAATGACTGCTGCGCCCCATCTTCATCTAGCAATCACTGTTTCCTGCGTGAGTGGAAGAAGCGAGGGAAGGGAAGAGTTACTCAGCTTGTCAACGACCATTGTATTTTTTTAAATGATACTTTTTATGCTTAATTACTGTGCAGCAGAATGTGTAAGATTGGTCTGCTGTTTTGACTAATTCTGTGCTATAATAACAACCCAGAAAACATTCAAAACACTTGCAGCTGCCTCAAGGCCTGACGAGAACTTTCTCTTCCCCACTTCTCCTTCTTCTTTGAGACAGCCCAGGCCGGCCTTGAACTCACAGCAATCCTCCTGCCTCAGCCTCCCAAGCACTGGATGACAGGTGTATACCACCACATCCAGCAGGAGCTTTATCTTTAAAGGACAGTATTAGTAATGTGCCGTGAGTATTCCCTTTGCAGCTTCTTAAGCCTACAGGAAACTTTTTATACGTTTACTTTAAAAATGGAGGAGGGACATGCGGTTCTCAAAGGTTTAGGCAGAGTCTCAGGCAAAGCTTCGCCAGGTCTGTCTCAGGAAGGAGCTGACGGTGTCGGGTCTGCGGCAGCGAGTGGTGGGGGGTGCGTCCCCCCGTAACATTTGCTATCAAAGCTCATCGTGCCCTGTGTCCTTTCCCACACCCTGCGCACAGTCAGACCACGCACCCCCGCCCGCTCCACGGAAAGCCGGGGGCTCAGAACCCCGCGTTCCCCTGGGAACAAGATCCCTCTGCACAGCAGGAGCAGCACCGTGCTCCTGCATGGTGTGTGTGTGTGTGTGTGTGTGTGTGTGTGTGTATATATATATACATATACAGTCAGGTGGCTTCAAAGACAGACACACCTGGGGGACAAAGTCCCCAGGAAGGGTGGCACCCGGCAGACAGACAGACGCCGGGAGGCCGGGCGGCAGAGCGGGCGGTCCACGGTGACCCGCTGACCCGGGTAGACTGCACCCACTGTGGGGGGCACGCACCTCACAGCCGGCAGTTCTGGAAAGGACCAAAAAGCCAAGAAGAACCAAGCAGCGACCGTGTAAAAGGCCCAGACATTTTTAAATGGCACGTTTATTTTAATAATGTATGTTTCTCAACACTGAGATTCCATCTCACCCCAGAAGTGGCTGCCATCAAGAAGTCAACCAATAACAAATACAGGAGGGGCTGTGGGGAGAAAGGAACCCTCTCCACCGATGGTGGGAGTGGAGACTGGTGCAACCACTGTGGAAACCAGTGTGAAGAATCCTCACAAAACTAGGATTAGAGGTCCCATTCAACCCAGCTATTCCCCTTCTGGGTATTTTCCCAAAAGTACTGAAAACATCATATCACAGCGATATATGTGCTCCCGTGTATATAGCAGCGCAATTTGTCATAGCTAAATCTTGGAAACAACTCAAATGCCCATCAACTGAGGAACAGATAAAAAAGATGTGTTTTTATATAATGGAGTATTACTCAGCTATAAAGAAATATAGACTCAAGGCTTTTATAGGTAAATGGATGCAACTAGAGACCATAGTCATAAGGGAAATAAACCAGACTCACCTGTGTAAACATCCTATTTTCTCCCTAGTGTAAGAACCTGAAAGAGTAAATAAGATCTGAAAGGTACAATAGATATTGTGAAAGGGCAAGAAACTGCTCAAAAGGAAAGAAGAACTGGGATGAGGGAAAGGAGAAAAGAAAGAAAGAAGAAATATATACATATACACACACACATACACACAGAGAAGATAGCTAAGATACTTGTACTGCTAATTTCTGTTGGTTTATTGAAAGAAACAACTAATGTTTAATTTTTTGACCAATTTTGCATGTTTACATCTGGTAATTTGAACAACTACTTCGAAGATAACAATATGCAATATAAAAACCATTGTAAATCTCCCATCATCTTGTCTTGTGTGCTTAATGTTTTCAAAAGTTTTATTCTCTTTAAAATAAAAAAGTATGTTTCTGAGCCAGTGTGGTGGTGCACACCTTTAATCCCAGCACTCGGGAGGCTGAGGCAGGAGGATCCAAATCCCAGGGTCCCCTCCCCCAGGAAGCTTTCTGACCCTCTCTCACCTTTCAGACTGGGCTTGTGGCCCTGTCCTGACTTCCCCGCCATCCTGAGCTTCTCTTTGCCAGCAGCCTTCCACCTCTGCCCTGGGACAGCTGTTGTCCAAGTCCCCCAGACAGGACAGGACGTTTACACCTGGACCCCAGGACCTGGCAGTGTGTCCGGTGCAGAGGGCTGGCTGGCTGGATGGATGGACGGAAGGGTGGACAGATGGATGGATGGGTGGGGACAGGGAAGTAGCGCTATGGAGAGCCCACAGCAGGGACACTGAGCGACCCCAGGCAGGCGAGGGTGCAAAGCACTTTCGGGATGTTTAATCGGCAGTGCATTTAATGACTGATTGATTTACCTGATTTCTATGTTATGTTAAAACATGTGATGTTCTATGCATTTATTAGTACACGTTCTATGTTATGTTCTATGCATTTATTAGTACACGTCTGTGATGCGTGCGCCTGCCTTCGCTGGGTGGAGCTGCTCCGTGAACCCGGCACCTGCGGTTATCCTCACCCCAGCCCCGCCCGCCTCGCGCTCCTGGCCCCTTTCCCTGTGAGAAAGCTCTTGCCTGCTTCTGATATCCGCCAGTTTTGTTCTTTGTTTACACCCTAGGTTTCTCGTCTAAGCGAAACCGTGTGACACTGACACTCGGGTGTCTGATTTATCTCCCTTAACACCATGGTCTCCCAGTGTGTCCATTTTCCTACAGATGAGTCAAGTGTGTCCTTCTTTAGGGCAGAGTAGTACTCCACAGAGTGTGAATACCACATTTTCTTTCTCCGCCCGTCTGTGGATGGACACACAGGCTGCCTGTGAGATTTAACTGCTGCACGTGGTGCTGAAAGTGCCTTTTGGATGATCTTGAGCCGGGAGTGGGGCGCTGGCCCTGGG